CTCGAGCTAGTACACAAAATCAAAGTACACAAACTTTTTAAATTGCAGACGGAAGGCAGACCACTTTATATGGTAGTGACAGACCAAGCTGTCACACTAAACTACCTCAACAGGACGGTCCAACACCTCTTGAGCACCAGAGTCTATTGGGAACTCCGCCGCCAGACCAGGAGGGTTATCCAATGTCACCGATGCCAGCAGTGGGGCCACGCCACTTCTAATTGCCAACGCGCCATCCGGTGCATGAAGTGTGCCGGCAACCACTGGTCAAGGGAGTGCGTCCTTGGCAGCGACGAGAAATGGAAGTGTGCAAACTGTAATGGTGAGCACAAGTCCAACTCCATGAACTGCGAGAGTTACATCTACCGTGTCACTGACATGGAAAAACGCAAACCCAAGACGAACAACACTAATAATAAATACACTGACGCCCCACCACCCACCGAAAACTACTGGACAGCCCGAGCCACACGATCAACTAGCGCAGCACAACGTCAAGAACCAACGCAAACCGCAACGTCCCGCACTGGCCAGGCGAACAAGTCACCACAACCTGACCACTCAGCCGCCTTCAGCAGCCTAGTCACGGAGTTTGAGCGCCTAAACTCGATGATCAACCTTCAGGGCATGCTCGCAGCAGTCCGCGATTTAAATCAAATACTACAACCCATAACTGACCCAATAGCAAAGTTCGCAGCTTTTAACGAGTTCACGAAGAATATAGGTAAGTACAATATATAATCGCTGCCTCACGACGTCATATCAATTTAGCGCAGTGGAACGCGAACTCACTGCGGAACAAGACAACCGGACTAATACATTTTCTGACTATACACTCGATAGACGTAATGGTAATTAATGAGACCTTTCCTATTCACTCTGATAAATTTAAAATCAAGAATTACCTTGTGTATCGGCAAGATCGCCCAGGCGTTCGCCGTAGCGGGGGAGTTGCCGTCCTGGTACACAAGGAAATTCCTCATACTAAAATTAATAACAAAAATTCAACAATAGAACATCTTATCATTAAAATTAACAATATTCACATAATTGCTGCTTATAATTCACCACTTAATCATTTTTCTCAATTAGACTTAGATACTTTACTTTATACATTTCATAAATGCCTTCTCGTTGGCGACCTGAACGCAACCAGTCCCATCTGGAATTGCAACAGGACCAACGAGAACGGTCGCACGGTCAATGATTACATCGCTAACAGCGATTGCCTACTAGCCTATCCGAGTACACCGACACATTACCCAAGTAACGGACAGACACCCTCGACACTGGACATTGCCATCAGCAAAGAAGTCATTATCCCTGATGAACCCACTACAGTTCACGAATTAGACTCGGACCATATTCCGGTCCTTATTCAAGTCCAAACAACTGTCCCACCTACACCGCCACCTAGGCCAATATTCAACTATGCCAAAACTGACTGGCAAAAATATCGCAATATTATTAATAACACTATTGTAATAAATAATAATTTAGACAGTGAGGATAAAATCGACACTGCTGTAGCAGATTTCACAGCTGCCATGATCAAAGCCCGTGATAAAACTACAAAAATCATCAGAACCAAACCTGCAATCGACACCATACCTGCAGAGTTGGTTGAGAAGATCCGAGATAAAAACAAGCTTAAACGTCTCTATGACATTCACAGAAGAGACGGATATAAGCTTGCTTATAACACGCTCAGGAATGAGATAAAGCATGACCTGCAGGTACATCGTGACCAGGTTTGGGGAGATACGGTGAGGAATCTCAAGGCAGCCGATAATAGTCTCTGGCATTTGGCTCGTAAAATAAAACCAAGAAGCCAAGTCTTCCCCACTATAATCACAGGCAATACACATCATGTTACCAACGCCGAAAAAGCTGAGGCTATTGCCGGCTGCTTTCACGAGATTACCAATACCAATAATGACAATCCCACACTTGAGCAAATTAACATCACTCAAACTGCTAATAACTTTCTAAGCAACTTGCATAGGTATAATGAAGTAAATGCCAGTCACCTCACCAGCCCTGTCAAGATTAAGAACATCATTCGTAAGTTGGCCAATAACAAAGCACCCGGCGTGGACAGTATTGAAAACATTTTGATCAAAAATCTCCCACATAAAGCCATTGTCAGCCTGATGTACATCGTGAACGCTATAATTAAATTGTCATACTTTCCCAGAGCATGGAAACATGCAATTATTGTTCCAATACCTAAGCCAGGCAAGGACCATTCACAGCCCACTAGATATAGACCTATCTCCCTAGTAAGCAACCTTTCTAAGGTTGCTGAACGGGCGATACTAAGCATAATAAACATGGTAGACAACGAATTACAAATAACTCCACCGAAACAATTCGGCTTCCGGCGAGGCTTAAGTACCGTCCACCAAGCCGTGCGTATAGTCCACGATGTTAAGCAGGCCTATAACAGTGGTAAAAACACTGTTATGGCCCTGCTGGACGTAGAAAAGGCTTTCGACACGGTCTGGCTGGACGGAATGACAGCCAAGCTTGTCGGATTTGGTGTCCCCAATAACACAGTTAAGTTAATTTCGTCCTTCCTGACCAACCGGACCTTTCAGGTTAGTGTCGGTCAGGTAAAGTCTACCATGTTTAGCATAAGAGCTGGTGTTCCACAGGGCACGGTCCTTGCCCCGCGTCTGTACACGATGTACACGGCTGACATACCCCATTCGCAACATGTCAAAATCGGCCTTTTTGCCGACGATACTGCTGTTTACGCTCAATCCTTCCACTCGCAGGTAGCTGCAAATCAAATAAAGATATACTTTAACACGCTACTCAAGTACTTTGCGAAGTGGAAGATTGGCGTAAATCACGGCAAAACGGAGTTGGTGAACTTTTCTGTAAAGTTCACCAACAATAAGATCTTTACCCCGATCGTGATGAATAATGCCCCAATACTGCCCACGCCGGTTGCCAAATACCTAGGTATCACCTTTGACAGCAGGTTAACGTTCTGCCAACACATACAAGCCGTTAAAGGCAAATTTTACACAGCACCAAAGGCCATTTATCCTTTGATAAGCAGAACGAGCCCGCTGTTAATGCAGAATAAAATAATTCTGTATAAAACATGTCTGAGACCAGTGATAACCTACGGATGCCCGGTATGGTGTTCGGCATCAAAGACACAACTGTCGGCGTTACAGCGGCTGCAAAACAAAGCGCTCCGCTATGTAACTAATAGCGGACGCTACGCCACTATTGACAGCCTGCATGAGGTCACTGGCATCGAATACATGCAGGATCACATTAAAAGAATTGCTAATAACTTTTATTCTTTCAAGCTAGATAGACACCCCCTAACAAGGGAAATAACGTCCCTGAGGCATGCAGATGATATATTGTACAAGCACCGACTTATCTACGGAACACTACCCATATTCTACCAGCAAAGGCGAAACTAAGCATTTCACCTGTTTTTGGTCTTTTCACAATCACTCTGTATATAGATTTGTATCATTTTTCAGCGCAAAGCTAAAAATATGAAACATGGGCTTCGCCTATGTTCCATATATATAAGCGCACTTTTCTGGCTGCCGCTACCTAACGTAGCAGCCACGCGCACATATGCAATTTCTGGCGCCATCGGCGCCAATTCAGCCAACTTCTCCGTCGGCTACGCGCTGAAAAATGATACAAATATTAAATTTTTCAAAATTACTCTAAAAAATCACAAAATAATATAATATCAAATTACCAAAGGCAGGTGTCCCATGTTGCACCCTTTCCACAAACTTTTTAACCCTCTTCAAAAATTATCCAAATAAAGGTCAGTCGCTACACCTTTATAATCAGTTATAAAGGTGTGGCGACCAATTTTATATTATTAAATTTTTATAAAAATTAGTTATACGCCAACATAATATTAATTATCTAAAGGCAATAAGCCAATAATAATGATTATTAATGGTGAATAATCATGAATAATCACAACAAACAACTATTACAGTCGCTACACCTTTATCTCCATCAGCACCAAATATTGATTAATTATCGACTTGATCATAGACTGAGAATGCCCCTGAATCGTTCACGAGTGGAATGGCAAAAACTCCAAACTGTAAACAGGGTGCAGTTAACGGAGGTGACATAACAACGTCAGCCAGCCGGGACGTCGCGACGCCGGGCAGGCAGCCTAATATTATTATATATAAATTAAATTATATGTTATGTAATATTATTCTATGTGCTACTTTGTAATACTGTAACTCTGTAATTATCTGTGATATTAATGTTAATAAATTGTTTCTGATTCTGATTCTGATTCTGGTACCTAGAAACGGATGGTTACAGTCGACGAGCTGGCCAAGGTCGGCGTCGTGTGACGACTCCTCACGATGATCGGGCAATCAATCGACGCGTTCGTCAAGAACCTTTTGTTCCTGCGAACGTTATCGCTCGGGACTTTCCGAACCGCCGACAACAACAACAGCGGCCGCTAAACATTTGCCCACAAACGGTTCGTAATCGTCTCCGTGAGACTGGAACGAGAGCTAGAAGAGCCGCGCGCGTACCAATGTTGTCAGCCGCTTATCGCCGAGCTCGCCTGGCTTACGCTCATCGATATTCTGCTTGGACCATGAGGCAATGGAACGATGTTTTGTTCTCCGATGAATCACGGTTTTGCCTGTATGGCAATGATCGAAGACCTCAAGTTTGGCGTCGTCAGGGAGAGCGTTTTTTACAGAACTTTACTCGGCCTGTAGCAGCTTATAATGGAGGATCTGTAATGGTTTGGGCTGGAGTTTCGCGATTTGGACGAACTCAATTAGTAATTGTCCGTGAAAATTTAAATGCCAGGCGTTATATCGATCAGATCTTGCGACCTTTTGTATTGCCTGAACACCAGGGAAATCCGAGAAGATTCGTTTTTATGCAAGACAATGCCCGCCCTCACACTGCTAACCCGTCGGTTTTTTGAAAGAAACAACATAACGTTGTTACGGCATCCAGCGATGAGTCCCGACCTCAACCCTATCGAGCGTGCAACCTCCACGTGGTACGCTTTGGGTAACGCGAATGCCGGCGGTTGATTTTTTTTTTTTTTTTAATTTTTTCTTTCAATTTTCGAATTTTTTTTATCATTTTTTTCATTTAAATTTACTGATGAGTCGATGCAAAATTGAGAGCAAAACGAAAAAAAATTATTATGCCACGATAATGGATAAAAATCTTATTTCTTTAATTTTTTCAAAATTTTGGATGCTCGGGGCAGAAAAACTACTCAATGGATCGATCTGAAAATTTACAGGGTTTTCAGGGGTATATTGAGGTGTAAAAATTCCAGCAATGTCTAGCTTCCCAGTCGATATTTATTAAGATACAGTCGATTAACCAAAATAAGGGAAAAAGTCACTTTTTTTAACTTTTTTCCAACCGGTATCGTACATTGATAAGATTTTTTTTCTGGAACTTTTTCATGAAATTTTCTTGGAAATTTCTTCCAGTTTCCAAAACTGTCCTTTTTTTGCTGTACGATTATTGGTTGCAGAGATATTGACGGTTAAAGACATAAGCGCCCTTTTTTGTTTAATCTCGGATATCTCCGCGACAATTGGTCGTATCAAGCTGAATAAAAAATGAAATAGAAGCTGAATAAACAAGCTATCTGTTTCATAAGGTCGCTTTGTTTGAAAATATTTTTCCGTGCCCGTAGAGCGAAAAAAAAAGATCAAAAATTTGTAAAAAAAATTTTTTGCTCCATTTCTTCGGATCGTGTCAAAACCGTTTTGACCTCAAGATGTGGAAACTAGAGTCTTGGAGCTTTAAAATGCATTTTTTTTTGCGATACGATCATTTTCCGCTGAAATACAGCCCGTCAAAAATCTAAGAAAAATTTGCATTTTTTTTATTCCCTTAATTTTTGTGAGTAGTGTATTTTGCAACGGCCCATGGAAAGGGATGTGTAGATGAAACAGCCAAAACTATTGTTCGAACACACATTAAAGCGCGTGATGTAATCGTCAATAGTGCATCTAATTTTGTAAGAGCCATTAAAATGGGACCATCAGAAATTAAAGTTGAGGAGAATTTTCAAAAAACAAATTTTTTACTAAACACAATTGAACTGTTTTCAAATGCCAAAACCATTCGCGATATTTCCAATGCTCACCAAATCCAAGTAATTAATGGCAAACATGTTACATTTTGTACTTTTAAACATGGATATAACACATAAAATTTATTGTTTCATAGTATTTGTGTTTAAGTTTATTACATAAAGATTTAAAAGGGTTGTCCAAAACTGATTTAGCCAGGTTCTAGTTCCTAAACCGTTTATGATATTTCAGTAGAATAAAATATAGGTATTGAGTGCTTTAAAATAATTGTAATAAAAATAAACCAAAAATTTTGAATAAAATCCTGTATATTTTATTATATTTTCTTGTAGGATTCGTAATCCATTAAATACTTTTTCCGATCGTAAATCGGTTAATAAATGTTTGAGAAAATTAATCTTAATTTTTTAAATCAAGTAAGCCTTAAATAAATAAATTAATTAAAATATAAATTTTTTATTTAAAATTTTAGGATCAAGATATGGCTTTCTTTTAACCTTTATATTGAAATAATAAAGTTGTTATGTTTCACTGAAATATCTTAAACGGTTTAGGAACTAGAGCCAGGTTAGTTTGGGACACCCTGTGTTTGTAAATAATTTTCCAAATTATTCTCATTATTTAAAAAGTACACAATAAATTGTTATGATGATTTTTTACACCAAATTTATTATTGAGTTCGTACGTGTAACGTTCCAGAAATTTTGTGTAACGTTCCAGCAATGACATTTTTACCTATAATCACATTTAATATTTTTTTCTTTATATATTTCTAATCGAAATATTCATTTTGATATGTCATTTATATTATATTCAAAAATAAATTAAATTGATTTGGCCAATTCGCAGATTTTTCAAAAAATGCATAACAACCTCTAGTTATGAACGCATCCTAAGCTAGTAAATTGTATAGTCTGCAGATCTCAGAGAGTCTTGTGTCATTTCTTGGAAAGCTCATGTTAGATAAAATTAAGTTATAAATATATGTAAAACACAATAATGTAACATTCTGATTCTTGCTTCTGTATAATAAATATCATCTTATGTTTTAAGTTGAAAATAAAGTTTTTAAAAACAGACTTTTTAATTTGAAAAACTTAAGTGGCGCAGTCGTAACGGATAAGTGTAGTTTTTTCCAAAATCGTACCGATTGTAACGTGTTTTTGGACTAATCGTGAGTTTCAACTCTTTGACACTTGAACCATCTTCCCGGCCTTTCTCCAAGTGTTTGGTACACCGCAGAGGACCGCCGACGACAAAATCTATTCCTGGCCTTTCTCCAAGTGTTTGGTACACCGTAGAGGACCGCCTTCAATAGACCAGGCCTTTCTCAAAGACATTGAGGACCGCCGAAAACCATTTGTGCAGACCCAAAGACAGGATCACCGAAGGAGTTTCTACGTAAGTCCAAGTTCCTTCACCTCCTACTTTTCTCCGTATAAGAAATTTAGGTTATTTTTAAGTTATTTTTAGGAATCAAATTTAAAGATTAAACCATATAAAACTTTATAAAATATAAATTCTAATTTATTTTAAGTCTATGACAGACAACGAATTAGACGATTTAAGTAATTTAATTTTAAATTCATTAAGAGTAAACGATACAAACGAAACAATGACTACTCGAACAGTAGATTCAGTTAGCTTAAATATGCTCAAAATGTTTGTCGACACTATCCCTCGTTTTGATGGTGATGTCAACAATTTAAATAATTTTATTTCTGCTGGACAATTTTTGTTCGACACATACGGCGATACCGAAGACGCCAATTTGAAAAAATATTTAATTCGCGCAATCCAAACTAAATTAATTGATAGAGCACAAATTTTAGTTGGCTCTCGTTCCGAACTTAATACTTGGAAAGACATTAAAAACGCTTTCCAAACTTGTTTTGATGACAATCGTAATATAGAATGCTTAGAACAGGACTTGTTTATGGCAAGACCTTTTAAAAATGAATCCCTCCTTGACTTTGGTAAAAGATTACAAGTTTTACGAAGTAATCTCGCTCAAAAAATTAGTTTACAAAATATTGACGCAGCTTCAAAGAAAATTTACATAGAAAACTATGACAAACTCACTTTAAGAACATATATTCGTGGGCTATCACCCCAAATTCAATGTATTATTAGACTTAAAAACCCCACTTCTCTAGAAGAAGCATTAACATACATAACTGAGGAAGAAAACTTCCAATATACTCAAAATCTATTTAAAGCCCCTCCGACACATAACGTAAGACCGATATTTTCTCAAAACCCACAACATAAACAAAATAATTATGCCCAAAATAATCATGCCCAAAATAATCATGCCCAAAATAATCAATTGTATTCGCAACCCAAGTATCATTATAATAATCCTAATAATTACAAATTCAATCTAAATTATCATCAAGCTAACCATTTCCCAAGAAACTTTCCAGCATTACAAGCCCCAAATTGTTCAAGATTCCCCAGCCAACCAATTTCCATTCAACCACGTCAAGTACCCCAAAAATTCTATTCCAACAACCAAAAGATGTTTTTAAACCAACCGGTGTAACTCCAAATTATAAACCCGAACCAATGTCCACTAGAACCTCATATACCTTACCTACCTCAAAGAGAACTAACTTTTCCCAGAATAATTTTAAACCATCCGGACCCCGAAACTTTAGGGCAGAAGAACTTTTTAATATAGAAGAAAATTCTCCCCAAATAACTGAAATCCCTGACGATACATTTGACTTTTACTCACAAGATAACACAAACGAAATTTATACAGAACAAGAATCTTACTATCAAAATAATTACGACATATCAGAAAATTACGAATGTAATTTAGAAGATCCAGATAACACTCAAAATTTTCAGACGGACCATTCGAAAACCAACCTTATATAGTTTCCGAAATGCACACTGAAATTAACAATAGTTTACCGTACATTAAAATACAAAATCCCCCAATGGAATTACTAATCGATACAGGCTGTTATAATTCTATCCTTAAACCCTCGTTTGCTCAAAAATAATTTCCTCCAACAATTTACCATTCACCCTCTCAAATAAAAACTGGTGTAGGTGAAAAAGAAGTTAGATTTAAAGCTGACATTCCCGCTATGCCAGAACTTTGCAGTAACAATAACATAACATTTATTCTTTTCGACTTTCACAATTTCTTCGACGGTATTATCGGACTTAAAGAATTAATAAATCTAAAATTTACAATTGACTTAATTAACAAACAACTAATAAATCACCGAACACGAATCCCAATATTTTATAGAAACCCAAAATTAGAAAGATATAAAATAAGTCTTAACGCCTTAGAAGTAGCCTCGGTAAAAATTCCAGTTTCCACCCCTAATGACGACATAATTATTCCAGAACAAAATATTAACGATTTTCTTTTACCGATAAATGACGAAATTGTAACACTTAAAGATCTTGACGACTTAAACGAAATTTTTAACCCTAATGACGAAAAATCAAAAATTATTATTCATTCCAATATACAAGTTAAACCCCCTGACAGTGAAACTGTACATTCAGCAGTTGAAGACCCCATATTAAATATACCAATTACCGAAAATTGCCTTAATCATTATTCTAATCAAATTGTTATTAATCAAAATATATTTAATAAATATCATGTTATTAAAAACAACATTTTTGAGACAAAATCTAGAATTACTGTTAAACTTTCACAAAACTATGAATCAGAAATTATACAACTTTTTAAGGACTATATTGACCCCAGTAAACTCCACTGAATTTTTATTCAAAAATCAGAAACCGAGTTTATACCCGAAATAAGTAGAATCCTTCAGAAAACATTTAAAAACCACTCTTATAATTTAATTATTTCCACACAACTTTAAAAGACATTTTGGACAAAAATCAACAAAAAGAAATAATATCTCACCATCACGAAATTACATGTCATAGAGGCATTAATGAAGCAGTTTTATCTTTAAAAAAGATTTATTATTGGCCCAATTTAAAAAAAGATGTCACAGAATTTATTAACAATTGCGACATTTGTTCACAAGCGAAATATGATAGACACCCACCTAAATTAAAATTCTCCTTAACTGCAACACCGAGTCAACCGTTGGAATCCATACACATGGATACATTTCAAATAGCGAGCGTTAAATTTTTAACAATCATAATATAGAAGAAAATTCTCCCCAAATAACTGAAATCCCTGACGATACATTTGACTTTTACTCACAAGATAACACAAACGAAATTTATACAGAACAAGAATCTTACTATCAAAATAATTACGACATATCAGAAAATTACGAATGTAATTTAGCAGATCCAGATAACACTCAAAATTTTCAGACGGACCATTCGAAAACCAACCTTATATAGTTTCCGAAATGCACACTGAAATTAACAATAGTTTACCGTACATTAAAATACAAAATCCCCCAATGGAATTACTAATCGATACAGGCTGTTATAATTCTATCCTTAAACCCTCGTTTGCTCAAAAATAATTTCCTCCAACAATTTACCATTCACCCTCTCAAATAAAAACTGGTGTAGGTGAAAAAGAAGTTAGATTTAAAGCGGACATTCCCGCTATGCCAGAACTTTGCAGTAACAATAACATAACATTTATTCTTTTCGACTTTCACAATTTCTTCGACGGTATTATCGGACTTAAAGAATTAATAAATCTAAAATTTACAATTGACTTAATTAACAAACAACTAATAAATCACCGAACACGAATCCCAATATTTTATAGAAACCCAAAATTAGAAAGATATAAAATAAGTCTTAACGCCTTAGAAGTAGCCTCGGTAAAAATTCCAGTTTCCACCCCTAATGACGACATAATTATTCCAGAACAAAATATTAACGATTTTCTTTTACCGATAAATGACGAAATTGTAACACTTGAAGATCTTGACGACTTAAACGAAATTTTTAACCCTAATGACGAAAAATCAAAAATTATTATTCATTCCAATATACAAGTTAAACCCCCTGACAGTGAAACTGTACATTCAGCAGTTGAAGACCCCATATTAAATATACCAATTACCGAAAATTGCCTTAATCATTATTCTAATCAAATTGTTATTAATCAAAATATATTTAATAAATATCATGTTATTAAAAACAACATTTTTGAGACAAAATCTAGAATTACTGTTAAACTTTCACAAAACTATGAATCAGAAATTATACAACTTTTTAAGGACTATATTGACCCCAGTAAACTCCACTGAATTTTTATTCAAAAATCAGAAACCGAGTTTATACCCGAAATAAGTAGAATCCTTCAGAAAACATTTAAAAACCACTCTTATAATTTAATTATTTCCACACAATTTTAAAAGACATTTTGGACAAAAATCAACAAAAAGAAATAATATCTCACCATCACGAAATTACATGTCATAGAGGCATTAATGAAGCAGTTTTATCTTTAAAAAAGATTTATTATTGGCCCAATTTAAAAAAAGATGTCACAGAATTTATTAACAATTGCGACATTTGTTCACAAGCGAAATATGATAGACACCCACCTAAATTAAAATTCTCCTTAACTGCAACACCGAGTCAACCGTTGGAATCCATACACATGGATACATTTCAAATAGCGAGCGTTAAATTTTTAACAATCATAGATGTATTTTCAAGATATGCACAAGCGTACCCCTTAGAACCAATTTGTAATTCCCAAACAGTTTATGAAAAATTTCTAACGTTTATTTCCCATTTTGGTATACCCCAATGTATAACTTGCGATAATGGCACGGAATTAAAAAATTCTCTTTTAACAGATTTCTGTAAATTACATAAAATTCAAATTCATTTTACAACCACTGGTAATTCAAATAGTAATAGCCCTGTTGAACGCGTACACTCGACATTTATCGAAATTTTTAGAACTCTTAGAATTAAAGACACAAAAGCATCTACTAAGCAACTTATGCAATATGCCGTTTTAGGTTACAACACATCTGTTCACAGTGTAATAAAACAAAAACCCGTGGATGTTATCAACGGTAGATTAAATTCCCTTGATCCTTTCGACATTACCGACGAAATTATTTTAAATCAATTCATGATCGATCGACGCGAACGACTAAAAGCCATCCTTGAACAAATTCACAATTTATCTTTAGAAACTAAGACCAAAAATATTGAAAAAATAAATAAAAAACGTAACGATTTTAATACTGGTGATAAAGTTTTCATTACAGACAAATCAGCCCTTAGAAGTAAAACAAAACCGCGTAACATAAAGGCAATAGTTTCCCAAGACATCGGTAACAAAATAATTACAAATAAAGACAAAGTATTTCATAAATCAATGGTTAAAAACCCTAAAGCTTTCTGTTCTCCTTCACAGGAACATGAAATTTTGGATCCAGCTACTCCTTCTTGTAGTTACGCATCAAACAACTACAGCGACAAAGAACAATGACAATGACGTGACAATTACACTCATTAAAAACCCTTTACTTCCCTTTCAATTAGAAAAAGCTAAGGTAATTAGCTCTAGACATACTTTTATACATTATCTAGAATTTAAGCCAATTAACGATCAATTAAATAATCTTAAGTCATTCTTTAGAGATGTAGAATATTCATTAAGTTTAGATCATAAGTTCCCAAAATCATATTTTGGTATTTACTCTAGTTTAGTAAATCATGCTAAGTATCTTTTATTAGAAGCAAGTAATAAGTTAAACAATATTTCACCGCATAAAATTAGTAAACGTGGATTAGCAAATATTATAGGTAAATCATCAAAATGGCTTTTTGGTACCCTCGATTCCGATGACGGACAAAAATATGACCGAGCAATTTCAGAGTTACAAAATAATCAAAATTCAATGTCAAAGGAAATCTCTTTGCAAATGTCACTATCAACAAAATTAATTCAAAATTACAATAACACTATAACACTTCTTAATGAAAATCAAATTTTAATTAAAAAACGTTTGGAATATTTCCAAATGCACGTTAATAAAACAATCGACGACATTGTAGCATATTTAAGAGCACAAAACACTTTGGATCAAATAATTTTAAACTGTCAAAACCTTATTACTTTTCTTGACAACCTTGATAACGCACTTTCTTTTGCAAAATTTAATACCTTACATAGTTCAGTTATACCTATCAATGATATGAATATTTTAATAAATAATTTAATAAAAATATATGGTGAATCTAAAATAATGATTCTTAAAAATACCTTTTTATATTACAATTTTGCAAATTTCATTTTCAAACGATAAATTAATTTTCGCTATACACTTTCCAATATTTAAACCTGAAACCTTTGAAGGCTACCGCCTTTTCCCAGTTCCAATCCAAAACAATGTAATTTTACCCAAACTTCCATACCTTATACTTGGCACCAACGAACAACAATACATCGAAGAACCCTGTCCCGAAATTGAAAACGTACAAATATGTCAAAATCACTTAGAACCAATAGTTGGAGATTGTATCGCTACCCTCATCAATGAAGCTGAAGCTATTAACTGCCAGAAACTTCCAGTTAAAGTCATCAACCCAATATTAGAAGAAATTACAAAAGAATACGTCATTATGATTCCTGGTACAAAATCAATTAAAATTCAACGACAGTGCGTAAACCATGAACACGCACTTATAGAAGAACCCAGTTTAGTAAAAATTCCTTACAACTGTAGTATACAAGTCAACAAATCAATTTATTGGAACAAAGAAGAAATAATTGCAGTAAAACCACTAAAACTTCCAGAAATTCGAATAAACAACCAATCATCAATAGAAATACCCGAAAATTCAATGGTACTACATTCAATCAATATGGACAAAATCAGAAATCTACAACAAGAACTTCAATGGTCAAAATCAACTTTAAAATACGAAATTCACCCCGCAACTTGGAGCATCTCAACTACCCTTGCACTACTCATCACTACAGCAATCATTATATTTCTTTATATAAAATGGTACGTCAAGAAAACAACCCCTGAAGTTTCAGAAAGTAACCACGAAAACATGAAGCTCCCCTTTATGTTTCCTCTTAAGGTGGGAGGAGTTATGAACGCATCCTAAGCTAGTAAATTGTATAGTCTGCAGATCTCAGAGAGTCTTGTGTCATTTCTTGGAAAGCTCATGTTAGATAAAATTAAGTTATAAATATATGTAAAACACAATAATGTAACATTCTGATTCTTGCTTCTGTATAATAAATATAAATATCATCTTATGTTTTAAGTTGAAAATAAAGTTTTTAAAAACAGACTTTTTAATTTGAAAAACTTAAGTCTCTATACACACTTACAAAATTGTGTAACATTCCAGTAAATGTAAAATGCTTATAAAATAAAAACTGTTAAAGATACAAAAAAAATTAACTTTTTTTTGTATAAATGTTAGTCTCAAGGTCCCTTATTTCATGCATACAAGAAACTGCGAGTTTTTATTAATAGTCATTTTAAAATAAGCAAAATATGTGTGCAACTGTAACGTTCCAGTAAAAATAATGAGCCATATGTATTTTGCAATTTGTGTTTTATTGACGTATACTATTATTCTAAAATATTTTATAAATAAATAAATATACTATTCTTTATAAATAAATGATTTTTATAAAAAATTTGAATATATTTTTAATTAATTTAATTAATTAATTCCTGTAAAATATCGAAGTGATATGGGTTAATGTAAAGTAAACCCTTGATAAAATATAGTGTGCCAACAAATGTCAAATTGCAGTCTATAACCTGTATGATCTGTGTATAATCATGAACTCTAAAAAAACTTTTCCTATAAGAAAAAAGTGTCCTGATTACGAAGAATTGCATACAAAAGTTATATATGCTCTTGGTCGAAATAACAGATTTATAAAATTAGAGGAGCTGAGTATTTTGATAAAACCGTTATTTCCTACCAAAGACATTATAGTCTAAGATCCCAAGTAAGGTCGACCTTCACCCATCTGCTTACCAGATGAAAATTATATTTTATCAAATAAAATATGTTTCTGAACATAAACCAATAGGGTTGCCATAAAAAATATGATCAAGGCTATCTATAATAAATAAAAAATTAAAAAAAAATAATTAATTTTTTAAATTTCACCGACTTGCTTGCCAAATGAACGAAATTCCAATGGAAAGCATACAACATACAGAATATGTAACAGCTAGGTTGCCTACCTTTTTCTGGTCCCTATTACCTGGTTGCTTTGTACAGGGTGATCTTTTTTATTTCAAGTGTCCCAAAAAATTTAAAAGTGTGGTTATGTAGGAACTAAAAAATACTTTTTTTCTACGTATAAAGAAAATTGGAAAATTGATAAGTATACAGGGAAAACAAAAAGTTTATTTTTTTCAATGGATCACCCTATATATGAATTTATTTTTCGATTCCTTGTAAAATTCTAAGCATATTTCATATATCATACCATATACCTAAATTCAACCGTTTCTGAAATATTTAAATTATTTTTAAGATAATAAGTTGAAATAGTTTGTTTTTCTCTGTCTGAGTACGCCATTTTTACTTATTTAACAACACTTATTGACATAATGTCACTATAGTAATTTATTTTCAATAAAAATTTTGGTATACTGAGGCTTCTTGATTTCTAACAGTTTAAAAAAACATTTAATGATGACATTTCGAATGCGAATATTTCAGAAACGGTTGAATTTAGGTATATGGTTTGTTATATAAATTATGCTCAGAATTTTACAAGGAATCGAAAAATAAATTCATATATACGGTGATCCATTGAAAAAAATAAACTTTTTGTTTTTCCCTGTATACTGATCAATTTTCCAATTTTCTTTATACGTAGAAAAAAAGTATTTTTTAGTTCCTACATAACCACACTTTTAAATTTTTTGGGACACTTAAAATAAAAAAGTTAAAGGGGGGCGACATTATAGGGGATCACCCTGTACAAAGCAACCAGGTAATAGGGACCAGAAAAAGGTAGGCAACCTAGCTGTTACATATTCTGTATGTTGTATGCTTTCCATTGGAATTTCGTTCATTTGGCAAGCAAGTCGGTGAAATTTAAAAAATTAATTATTTTTTTTTAATTTTTTATTTATTATAGCTAGCCTTGATCATATTTTTTATGGCAACCCTATTGGTTTATGTTCAGAAACATATTTTATTTGATAAAATATAATTTTCATCTGGTAAGCAGATGGGTGAAGGTCGACCTTACTTGGGATCCTCTACTATTAGTGGTGAGGATTTTGTTGGCAAAAACTGTTATCACCGATTTGCATCTTTATTTGATGCACAATCCAACGTTCGAGTAGTACAGGTGGAAGATGTGGAGAATGACAAAGTATAATAATAATAATATTGATAAATAATTTATGCTCATAGAAAAATCTTTACAGATATCGAGAACATGCTGTGAATCATCTACAATCAACAATGAATGGATGAATAATATTCAAAAGGCCTTACAAAATTATTAAACTAAATCAGAGAAAATTCGGTTTCTTACGGTTTTACCCGATTCTATATCCAAACAGTACATGATGATGAATCAAGAAAATGAAAAAGAAATAAAGGTATTTACACTTCTCCTGATCCATATAATGGCCCTTCTACCAGCGAGAATGATATAAAATCAGCCCTGGAATATTATTTAAATGACGATCTAGATTGCTCTCTCCAAAGCCCGAACAAAAATGATGTGAAATCCATAGTCGAGAAAAAAAGTAAAAAGGTTGAATTTTACCAGGTTTTTCGTAAAAAAAATCCTACGGCCAAAATTAATAAATCAAAATGTTACTCCCTGAGACCAAAATGGATTATGATCGATCCCCCCAGAGAAGTTTGCTTATGCCTATATTGTGCCAATTTTGAACTGTATCTTGTTGGTCTGAAGAATATAAGAAGAGACAAATCTTTTGATTTAAAGAAATTGCCAGAGGAAATATTTGCAAAACTTCTCTGTTCTTCCCCAACCAAAAATTGCCAGTTTGGAAATTGTCATAAATGCCCTGGACGCGGCATTACTGCGCAATAGGGTGGGCCGAAAATCCGCTTTTTCAGAATTTCGTTTAGTACTAGCAAAAATTTTGTTCATTATGTTGTAAAAAAAATTTGTGTAAAAGATTAAAATTTTCGATCAACATCCTAGGCTCGCCCAACGCAATTAAAGATCAAAATGTACAAAAAAACTTTTTATTAACTTATTTCCATCGGAAATTTTATGCTCTACAAAAAAGGTCCTTACACAAAATTACTTCAGATGGATAGTTTCAGAAATTTGTTCATTATGTTGTAAAAAAATTTTGTGTAAAAGATTAAAATTTTCGATCAACATCCTAGGTTCGCCCAACGCAATTAAAGATCAAAATGTTAAAAAAAAATGTCTTAACTTATTTCGATCGGAAATTTTATGCTCTACAAAAAAGGTCCTTACACAAAATTACTTCAGATTGATAGTTTCAAAATAAACCCGATTTTAGTATCAATTTTTTTTTTACATTTTGATCTTTAATTGCGTTGGGCGAGCCTAGGATGTTGATCAAAAATTTTAATCTTTTAAACAAAATTTTTGCTATTACTAAACGAAATTCTAAAAAAGCGGATTTTTGGCCCACCCTACTGCGCAATCTCTAAATATTCCAGACGAAGTTCTCGATGAGGAGGTATTCTTTGCTATATGGAATAAGGCGGCTTTAGAAAAACGATCGACAACACTCGATAATTTCCTATTTGAATTGGCTACTTCCTTAATAAATACATGTGCTCACTTACGCATAAAAGATATTCAGCGGGAAGGGATTATAAATATTAAAAATTCAGGCATTTACATTTACTAAAAATTTATTGTTGCACTGCTATTTTGCTGAAAATTGGAGAGTAATTTTAAAAAATGAAATTCAAAGTGCGTATTGGAAATCAAAAATGGTGTCACTATTTACAGCTGTGTGTTATTGTGGTAATAACACTAAAAGCTTCGTTGTAGCATCTGATGACACAAGTCATGATTCGGCCCACGCAATTGATGTTGTTATTGAGAACGTTTTAAAAATGTTTCAAGCCATTGAAGAAGCAGCAATTATATCGAATGGAGCAGCTGCTCACTTCAAGAACCGTTATCAGTTTTACGAACTCACAAAATCATTGATAAAAAGGAAATGGATATTTTCAGCAACCGGTCACGGAAAAGGCGCTTGTGATGGTTTTGGTGGCCTTGTGAAACATTAGGCGACCGTTCATAACTTAAAAAAACCAGACATTGAATTAATAAATGATGCAGAATCCTTTGCAAATACTGTCAAAAGGTACACAAGTTCAATTAATTTGATTTTTATCTCAAAAGAAAATGTAAATGAAATACGGAAGAATAAAATGAAAGAATGGGAAAAGGTATCAGCTGTAAAGGGTATACAGTCATGTCACGTGTGGGAAATTGATCGAAGCGGACATGATGTGCGTCGCTTTATGGCACAAACTGTTAATCATAAATTTCAAAAAATTTAATAGGTATTTGTTAAATGTTAAGAGGTTTGTTGTTGTACAGTCTGTTCAGGCTAATTTGAGAGCTTTGGTGGGGAATCATGTGGCCGTTGATTACATTAAATATCGAATTGTCGCGAGATTTCGGTAAGAAGATGATTTATCAGTGCCGCGGCTTGCCGTTTGTTCGTAAAGAGCGGCTCCTGAAATACATGAATTTAATTGTGCCTGAACATGGAGATGATGGACGGGGTGACATTCCTTAGACCGCTCAACTTAGCCTGAACGGACAGTATATGGTAGAAATATTTTTAAACGATTTGAGCTAAAAGTAGCCAGATGTTTCATAAATGGCCTGCAGGGTTATCCGTTTTTGTATGTTTTTATGATGTACAATGTTCAATAAAATTGTAATATCGATAGTTGTGTTTTTTTGAATTTTTTAAGCTCAAAAATGAAGTTTCAGTTTGTTTGGAGCCCTTTTAATTAAAAATCGTGCAGTTTTTTTGGAGAAAACGGCTAATTTGATAGTGAATTTTACTTTGACCTTATATAACTTTTGACCGAGTTAACTTACCAAAAAATGACTTCAGACCTTTTTTATAGAGCAT